AAGCTGGAGGAGGTGGCTGGGGAGAGGGAGGTCTGGGCTTCTCTGCTTGGGCTGCTGCCCCCGCAACCCGGCCCCGGATAAGTGGAAGAAAATGGATGGATACAGATAAGAGGCAAACCCATGTTGTAGTGTGAATCAGTTGATAAAATAATGAAGGTTACAGCACAGATGTAAACATCTATGTTTGTTGGGAGCAGTTCAGATTGTGCAGTCTGACAGCTGCAGGGAGGAAGGACCTGCGGAAACGCTCCTTCATGCATCGAGGATGCAGCAGTCTGTCACTGAAGCAGCTCTGCAGCCACATTTACATGCATGGGGTGGGAGACTCTGTCCATCAGAGATGTTATGAGATGTCCACCTGCACTGGGTCCAGGGTACATCCCAGAACAGAGCTGGCCTTCCTGATGAGTTTATCCAACCTCTTCCTCTCAGCTGCCGATAAACTGCTGCTCCAACATACAACACTGTAAAAAATGACGGATGCCTCCACAGAGTCATAGAAGGTCTTTAAAAGCGCTCCCTGGACTCCAAATGACCTGAGCCGCCTCAGCAGGTAGAGTCTGCTCTGACCCTTCCTGTAAAGAGCATCAGTGTTGTGGTTCCAGTCCAGTTTATTAGTCAGGTGAACACCCAGGTACCTATAAGAGCCCACTATCTCAATGTCCACTCCCTGGATGTTCACCGGTGTCGGTGTGGTGGGTTTGCCACCAACTCCTTGGTTTTCACGGCATTGATCAGCAGGTGGTTCTGCTGACACCAGAGTCCACTGTCTGTACTCTGAGTCAAATCAAAGTGGGATTGTGTCAGTTTCAATAAAAAACTTTGCAGTCCCTTTAAATAAAAAGTCCAAAGACCTGTGAAAAGCTGTCCATTCATAAAGTTCAACTGTGTTCTATAAGGACGTCATGTGTGTCTATCATCTCTCTCCTGTTAGAGCCTCTTCACAAAACACCAGCCTGTTCAATGCTCTGATATCTTTAACATCTTAAGAAGATTATATTGCACAATTTTCCCAGCGTAACAGCCAATAGGTGGTCCACAACCCTTTTGAGGACAAATGTGGGACTAAACGTCTTCAAGGACACTTAAAGTAGTCCAGATGTTTTTCTTTCCAGGCTCCTTAGACCACAAACCTACACAAGGATCGTGTCTTTTTAGTTTATTTTTAGCTGTCACTCTGGGATACTGCCCTTAAATATAACTAACTAAAGTTTTCAGACAGTTTTAGTGGTCACAGTATATTAATATTGTCTGTGAGACGGTCACACAGGTACTAAAGTAACATGACATAGAAATAAATTCCTTGAATTTGAACTAAAATGTAATATTTGAGACACCAAGTTAAAATCCACCAGTGTAAAACTTACTTACTGTTTGGCTTGCTGCACTGAGGCGGGAAAATCACCCTGTTAGCTGCAATATTTGAATGAGGACTGTGTGGAAAAGAGCCTTTTCGAATCACGGGACCAACAATCTGGAGTCCAACACTGCAACTTTTCCTTGACAGACCGGCTGCACCGAGGCACGCAATCAGCCGGCAAAGTAAATGTTCACAAAATGCGTTCAGCACTATTCTAATTTACAACCTAGCAGCTTACTACACATCACACCACAAACATAACTGTGATTCAAAACATGATCAAAAATCCTGACATCTATCAGCATGTCCGCAAGAGGGAACCCCCCACCTCCACATTACAGTCTTCTTCATTTACATTTGGGCTTCACATTTCCTCACTTCTAAAATGAGGGAATCCAGTAAGTGAGATGACAGGAGGGGGAAAAAAGGTCTCCAAAAAGTGTGGCATCTCTCTGAGGTTTCCATGCTTCTCCATCAGTTTCTGAGTCCAGCTCGTCGGTCTGGTGAACCACCTGTCATCTGACACAATCAGGCTCTCCTCCACACGCTCACTTATAAAGTAAGTCAGTTAAACATTCGGGCTAACAATGGATTGGATTTATTTAGCGCTTTTCAAGGCACCCAAAGCGCTTTACAATTCCACTATTCATTCACTCTCACATTCACACACTGGTGCCATATGAAGGCACCAGTGTGTGATGGCGCGATATGGCAGCCAACACCAGTAGGCGGTAGGGTAAAGTGTCTTGCCCAAGGACACAATGACCAGGACAGAGAGCCCGGGGATCGAACCGGCAACCTTCCGGTTACAGATGCGCTTCCCAACCCCCCTGAGCCACGGTCACCCAGGTGAATTCTCCTGTGTTAATAATATTTATATTTAATCAACTGTATTCTAAGCACCAGCTGTCTGTTACAATTTTTGTTTTTTTAGAGTTTACTAAAATAAAATAAAATCACATTAAGATCTGACTTGTGTGGGGTTTTTGTTCAGTAAGCAGATGTTGGTGTTTCAGTCATGTTAGAAACTATGAAACACATGATGCAGACTTCTGCACATTAGAAGAAAACTAATGCTGCTCATCAATAAGACTAAAGGCAGGAAGTTGTCCTTTATAACTACACATGTTAATAGCACCTCCAGATTTATATCATAGTTTATGAGATAGCACGTGTATTTTAGTAATAGTCTATTTATTTCAGTGTAGTGGTGAACAGTTCTTTCTTGTTTGTCCTTGGAAAGTCCTAAACTAGAAGTTATCCAAGTTTACTTCAGTTAACCGAGTCAGACAGTTGTAATGAAAACAAACACAGTGACAGCTGTTTAATTTATCAGCAGCTTATCCAGTAACCATGGTAACCACGGACACTGTGCAGCAAGACCGACGCAGGTGAGACTTTGGGAAGTACCCCTCGTGTCTCTTTGAAGCTAAACGACAGACATTTATCAGCCGTGCGGTCAGTTTTCCAGCACTGCTGAAAAACTGTGAAACAAACTGAAACGTGCTGATGATGAAAATAACGCGTCTGCCTCTAAAGTCTTTGTTTCCCTGCTCGGCATCAGTAACAAAGTCACAACTTTATATTTCTCATGTTGGCTAAAAACAATTGTACATTTATGGTCCTGAAACAGGACACAGACACTGTAACTGCTGACCTCACATCAAACACAGACTGAGCCCATGTTTGATGTTTTTATATCCAACGTTTACTCTCAAACATTTAAACAGCAGCGAGTCTCAGCTGAGAGAATAAGTGTTTATATGATGGGGGAACATGTTTTATGAGCAGCAGCCTGCTGTACTGAAGTCACTGAATGAAGAGCAAACAGTGCGCCGCATTGTCACGGGAACATGAGTGTATTAATCTGGTGATTTATTACATGTATTAATGTTATTATACTTCATTCTAATCTGCTGCTGAGTCTTTTGCACTGATGGAAGTACAGATAACACAGCATGAACAGCTGTTCAACCAATCACATTCATTCCACTTTGACATGCGACAAAATTAAGTCTTGCTCTTTTTATAGCAGTGTTGCATTTGACTGGTATATTTATATGTCTTGTTGAAGCCCTGCTTCACACGATAGCTCTCTGCCACAGCAAACTAAGGCTAAGAGAGTAATGTCTTTAACAAAGGACAGACCCACCCAGAGTCACACAAAATCACAACAGACAGAGATCCAACAGTAATGGCATGGAGTCGGACAGACCGATAATGCACTGACAGCAAAAGAGTTTAAATGATATTAAAAGAAAACAAAACAAATGAACTGTCAGAATTTCAGCTGACTGTCCCCCAGTAATGTTACTGGGGGATAGTCAGCTGGGGAATGCTGGGGGGCGCTACTCGACCTGTAGAGACCAGAGATGGCCATGTGACCATCATTCTGCTTGTTTTGCCCTGGTGTGTGTCTGTGTCCAGACTGTGTAGCAGTCACCATCACTGCTCGCACCCCCCATCCAGCTTCTCTATGTGACACATCAGTACGATATTCTCACCTTTATATAAATAAAAAAATGTATTTTGAGTGCGCTGTTTGTCAACAATGCGTTCTTACAGGGTACATGTGTAATGAGAGAATGACACAGGGGGAAGTACTGAACACGTGCATGCAAAGTAGAGACAGCAGCTGAACTCTATCAGTGATCAGAAAGCAGCTCTGCAATTTGCAAATTAATATCAGCTGCTTTAGTCCCAACTGTGAACTTCTCATTTTAGCCGGCTTTTGAGACGCTAATATAATGATAATAAAAAATAAGAATGAAAGCACTTTGAATTATCTGACATTGTAGAGTCTTTAACTGCCCTTAAGCCTGTTGCATGAATTCACTGACTGTGAAAAACATTTGCTGTGCGATCCAGGACTGCAGGATAAAACTCTATCATACAAAGCAGAAACACCACTGTCATGTTTGGGCTAAAGCAAAAACCAAAACAGAATGGAACGAGGCAAAGTGGAACTTTTCTGTGGCCAAAATGACATGTATCATTCTCTGTGAAAAACAACAAGCGGTATGGAGTTACAAAAGCCATGGCTGTAGTATCTGACTGACGATCAGTCCAGTGCTACCCGGCCTCTCACCCTATGGTAGCTGGGGTAGCTGGGGTAGCCCCCCCATAAGGATAAGTGGAAGAGAATCGATGGACAGATGGAAACTAAGAGAGAGACCTTTGACCTACAGCTGTTAAATAAGATGTAAAATAATCACAAAGGTTTGGAAAAATAACGTTGATTTACAAATTTTATAGATTTATGAAATATTTAAACGGAAGTGAACGGGATGATCATGTGACTTTGCAAGTTAATAATTTCAAGATAAAATTTTAGAACCTACTGTCAATGTCAAAATGTTTGCACTGAATTATATTAAAGACTGCATTAAATGTAAGTTATTGCAGATGATCCCAACAAAGGAAAATGAAACCCACAAAGCCTTTAGCAGCCTGATGTCTTTGGAGTGCAGGTTAAACTGCGACCCGTACTGTACCGTCGGAACACATCAAAGGAAAGATTCTGTCACATTTTCTGTCCATTGTTGATAAAGCAAAAATCAAACTCAGTCATTTTGATACTTTTCTTAATATGCCTTCAAAATGCACATATTAGACTTTTTAGAATCAGTTTTAAACTGTCATTATACTCCAGCCCGCACGTAATCTAGTGATCGTACGTGTTGGGACAGTTTTACCTGATGGTGCATCGCAGAAGGGGGATTGCAGACATTGCTGACGCTGCTGGTCCAGAGATCCGCATGTAATCACGGCCTTTTCAGTCGGTCCATCTGCATTTCCTTTATCAAAGTACTTCCATAGTTAGTTACACTGGATCTGGCAGCAGCCTGGTACAGCTCAGCAGGGACTAAATCAGAGTAACTTCAGTTCGTCAGAAAGAAATCAACAGAAACAGATACGTAACGTTTCTACGGTGTTAGCTAATCTAATTTGTATTTACTCCTTTGAATCCCATGCTATCATGTTTTTCTACAAATATTAACAAACATTTGAAAACAGAACAACCACAGATTATAATGTCTCTGTAGTTTCCTTTGGGATTTCTAATCAATGACGGCAACAAAACATGGTTCCAGTTTGCTAGCCAGGCTAGCACATAAAGTTAGCATTGCTATGAGTTGCTGCTACGCCGCAAACAAAATCCTATAAACGACTTACAGTATGGTTGGTTGTTAAATTGTTACTGACAACAAAGTGACCTGTAACATCCCTGCCGTTAAGGTAGGACCGTTTTAGTTAGCTGCTGTGGGTGCTCTTCTTCTGCGATTCCTAGCACCAGCCAGCCGCACTATTGCGCCATCAGGCGGACTGGAGTGTCAGGTTAGGTTGAAGCTTGACATCCAGAGTTTTCTTCTTCTGGCTCCACGTGTTTGGAAAGGAAAACCATCCAAGCAATCTTTGAATGGTGAATGTTTTGTTCGTGTATTTTTGCATTGTGGGTTAATATAAAAGTGACTGTATTATTACTTGAATAATTTCTGTGAGATTAAAGATTGATGAATAAATACTAACAAGGTCCAGAGTAATTAGGTGAGTGAGCATGATTTTACTGTTAGGCATATAGTTTTTTATTTTATTTTCTCCAGTCTTTGAAGATGAAATATTTGTGGTGGCCTACCACACTAGCTGTCAGATATCTATAATACAATCTTGAGATCCTTTCCCAGGGGATTCAACTCTCACTCAAATCTTGATCCAAGTGACCTTATTAATTAACTCAATCAATCCACTCAATCGCACACACATTCAAACAGCACTTCATGCCTATGCACTTACTATGATTGTCATTTACTGGTTTGTTTCGTATTATTGTCCTGCTGCATAACCTGAATGCACTTAAGCTTCAGGGCATGAAATGCTAGCTGGACATTCTCCTGTAGAGAACAGAATCCATGGTTTCATGTATTACAGCAAGTCTTCCAGGTCCCGAAGCAGCAAAGTAGCCCTAGAGCACCACACTACCACCGACAAATCTTGCAACAAGTTCAGCTTTGTATCATGGATCCACAGAATATCTTCCCAAACGTGCCCTTTTTGGCTGGCACTGGTTTTCACCTTGAACTCTCCAATGGATGCCATTTGTGCCCAGTCTCTTTCTTAGGTTTACCCCTGTTCCAAGGTCTCTCCATTGGTGCATAATGGCTCACAGCATGGTTCACTGGAGTAAAATGGCTTTAGAACCTTGTTCATACTCATAGATGTCAGTGACTTTGTTTCTCATCTCTTCTTGAGTTTCTTTAGAGTCTGATTGACAGCCACCTATATTATCCATGTGTGGCTTTAACTTATCCTTACAGGCCATTAGATCTTGGTGGGAGAATAATTGTGGTAAATTACCAAACAATGTCCAGAGCCAGCGGGCTGGGTTTTCTATAGATATGTGGTCTGGACTAGTGAAACAGCTTATACTTTTAAAAAAGTACTACAAATTTTACCCAAACGTTTGTGCTGATGGAGTCGAAACCACATTTGTGCTGCAAAAATCACCATCTGTCCCGCTATCATTTTAAAGTCCTTCCAGAGGTCATCAGAGGTCTTAACGAAAGTGGTGTCAAACATTTGTGCTGCAGTCATTTTAAAAAATATTAATAAAAGAAAATTTCTAAAGAAATTTCAAAAGGGCCGCTTTCAATGTTCCACAACTCAGACTTAACACTTTAGTGTAGTTTCTAATATTTTATTTCAGAATAGCGACAAAAACGTAACTGTAATGTTTCCTCAGTGGGTAGCTTCCTGCTGCAACTCTAAAGGTGTCGTGGACAGTTTACCTGACAGTCGACGCTGGTTTTGTCAACATTCTTAACATACTTTAAGTTTAGTCTGTTAATGCAAAATAAATTTAAGAGGTGAAGGTTTGCTAGTGCTAGATGTGATCGAGCATAATTAATTATTTGTTTCACTTCCATTCATTACGTTTACCTGAACGAACACAAGCAAAGTGAAGTTGGAAAGCCATTGAAATGCACAGACATTTTCTCCTTGACTGAAGCGCATCGCCCTCTGCTGTGTGATGGATGTAGTGTGTCAAAGTGACCATGCTGGTGGCCACTGACAGGCAAGGTAGCAATTTTAATGAGCACACAACTGCTTATTGATATGTGACAAATCTGATAAATCACTGATAGAAACAGAAACATACTGCAATGCAAAGGTTCTCATAAATATTTGTCACAAACTTAGAGAAATGTTAATGACAATCTTTCAAAAAACGCAGAATGCAGCCTTTAAAAGTCTGTAATGGCTCCTGTAACCTATTATCCATCTCATGACATGATTCAAGATTAACAATGAAAACTTTTAGATAAAACATGCAGAAATCAGTCGCATTTATTCCAACAAATTAACAGCAGAATTCTGACAACATCAGCACACTGAAGTATCACAGCTCAAGATACACAAGCAATCAGTGGTTTACAGTTTGTTTGTTTTTTACCACAAGAGAGGGCTCATTATCTGTTCATGTGTTTCCCAGCCTCTTCCTGTCACACACAAACACAAACTCTACCCAGAGCTGATCTGGTTCTTGTGTTTTACGTCTAAGGAGCACCGTGGGCAGCTTGGGAATCAACCTGCCTGGAAAAATGTGAAGTTGGTCGTGTAGGTAACAAAAACAAATATAGCTGCCACAAAAGACCCATATTAAAACACAATTTCACTTATATAGATGTCATTAGGTGATTCGTTCCATGGTTAGACAAAACAGTCTGCCTCTTGTTTTAGAAGCTCAGATTATACCTCGTTTCATATGTGACAGTGGTTAAAGGGGTAAACACTGAGTGGGAGAGACAGTCAGTCTCTGTTGTGTTTTAACACTGGCATTTATTTTCCATCCTATACTGTTGGAAGCCTGGAAGAACTTTTTTTGGAGGTTTGTACAAATTTAAATGATAATGACTTTTTATTTTATGGGTGTTCTATTTAAAGCTGTCGGGGATTGTTTCTGACAGAATAAGAACCTAATGCAAACTTCACCTTAGAATGAAAATGATCAGTGGAAAAATAACAGCTTCCTGAGACCCACCAGTCGATCACATGTCTTCTGGCTGGCTTCGCAGGCAGGAAATCATTTCTTGGACTGGCCTCTTCTCAAAACAAATCTGATAAACTGCTGTGAACAAAGGGAACCTGGAGAGAGGAAGGACAGAGTTAGAGCAAGTAGAAAAGAGAAAATTCAAGTTATTAATTTCACATGTAACAAACGTATATAGACTAGATAAACAACAACAATACAGCGGTAAATAAATTCACATTTAAAGTCAGAAAGAAAGTTATAAACACTGATGAGCCAAAGTACGACCATCTCTACGATCTCAAAACGACCCAGAAACATATTTCAGTTTCAGCACAGAATCCTCGTGCGGTTCATTACAGTAACTTGAATGAGTTTAGGGAGTTTGTTCT